TGCTTTGAAGTACTGCTCATCTCTATCCATTAAATGTGCTTATATTAGCTTTTACTTGTGTTTCGGAGCTGCTGAACACTGGCAATTTCCTATAACAACATGCACCTAGGACAGCAATTTTCAACCTTTTACATCTCATGACACACATAAAGTAATTACTAAATTCTGCCATATGCCAAAAAATATATTTTTGGCTTATTGGACAAAAAAAATAGGTATGGTTTTGATTCATTCACACCAAACAGCTATTGTTTTGGCTGCTATCATTTTTTTATTTGACAATCTAAGGAAAAAGAAGTCAGAGCCCCCGACTAAATAGTCAGGTATTGCGTGTTTTAAAAATTCTTTTGAGCCTGGCCAGTGTGGCTCCATGGTTGTGTCCACCCCTGAACCAGGAGGTCAAGATTTGATTCCTGGTCAGGACACATGCCCAGGTTTCTGGGCTCTGTTCCTAGTAGGGGGCATGCAGGAAGCAGCTGATCGGTGATTCTCTCTCATCATTGATGTTTTTCTCCCTTTTCCTTCCACTTTAAAAATCAATAAACTATTAAAAAAATAAATGTGTAAATATTTGGTCCATACAAAGTAAGGTTAAGAAAGTAAAAGTACCCATTTCTTTTTAATCAAATGAAAAGAGAAAACATTTATAAAAGTACTGAACAAGCTATAAAAACTCAATTTTCAATGCAACCAATTGTTATTTATTAGGTGACTATTCCATATGTCCTCCTTGTGGTAGGTTCTATGAAAAATAAAAAATACATTGAGTATCTACTCTTACAGCAACTATCAATTATGAACAAAAATATTGATTATGATGAGAATTCTCAGATACACCATCAAAATAATAGTCTAAATTCTAATAAAAAGACATCAGGGTAAGGAAAGAAAGTAATTGTAGTTTTGAATATGTAAACAAATTATTAAACTGTGGAACCCAGTCAACAGTCCTTTACAGAGAGTAGCTGCTCAATAAATGTTTAATGAATAAGTACATTTTTAATTAAAAATATTAGGATTATTAATTTTTATACCTTTTGATTCTTAGTATTCATAGTTCTAAATAAGTCTGTACAGCCAATTAATTTACAGTAGCTCGACATTTTTAATTCAAGGAGTTAAATACCTATGTCCATTCAAGACTTAGTTCATTTACTTGACAAATATTTGCTGAATACTACTACAGCCAAGCAGTTATGTTTGGTTGAATGATTCAACAATAAACAGAAAAGAATGGTCTTTGCCTTCTTGGAGCTGTAAGGTTGGGCAGAGGAGATGGATATCACACAAAGGATTAAGCACAATTGGGACCTGGTGATGAGGCAGAGCAGAGGGCACCCAATGGAGCCAATCTCACCTGGGATAGGGACTGAGGCCTGGGGTCCAGGGAAGAACTCTTAGAGAATTTATATTCGTGATTGCAGGATGAGTAGGAATTTAATAGGAAGAACATAACAGGTACAAAGGGCATCTGAAGAACAGAGAAAAGGCCAGTGTGTGGGCAGCTCAGCCCACCAAGGAGGGCACAGAACAACCTAACAACAGAAGACTGCGGAGGGCAGCAGGGCGAGGCCACACCAGTCTCAGTGCTCCTTGGGAGGATGTGGGAGCTTTACCCTCAGTTTGAACTACAAGATATTTTAAATGGGAGTGCCAGATTAAGATGGCCAACTGCAATTCCACACTAATTTTACCTTTTCCTAAACTCTAATCGAAACTACAGTAAAGAGATTTTTAAAAAAGACACAAACCCACCCAACAGCGACAAAGGTATGGAAGCTAAAATGCAAATGAACAAGAAGTAACTAACTTAAGGTGTTCCACAGAGCCAAATCCTGAGCCATCAGCAGGAAAACTGAGAACCGGCCCAGCAAAGACTGCAGTATCTTCAGAAGCCATAACACCAAATACGTCTGTAACTGGGAATGGCTGGGAGTAAATAAAATAATAAGTCTGGGGAGCTCTTTGGCAAGCAGTTGGGCTCCTGGGTACCCTCCCCTCCCCCTCTCTGTAAGG